ATTACTATTAACATAGACAATCCTGCCACAATAGGATTAACAAACCATAATTTACAAATGGTTACATAGGTAGATAGATATGCTAAAGAGATGTGGGAGGGTGTAAGGGAGCACACCCATCTGCAGATACAGGTTTGGTTGTGGATATTTCTAACATACATTGTAGGTGCTGCATGTATGTTAATATAGATTATAGAGCACACAAGGGGCACAGTCATGGACACTTCTTAGACATAACCAAACACCTCGCGGGATGAAGTTCCTAGGCTCAAAGGTGAAGGACCATAGACTCAGGGAACATCTACATCAGTTGGCACAACATAGTTCATAAAGACAATGTTCTGCATCCTACTTTGGTGAGTAGCATCATCTGGGGTCTTAAAAGTTCGCAAGCGGCCGTCTAAGATACAACTACTGGTCTCTTCCTGTCTGGAGCAAAGGAGACTGGAGAAAACCAGAGACTCAAGGGAGCAGTTTGTCCACAGGACTAATGGACCACATGAACCACAGCCTACACAACCCTGAGACCAGAAGACCTAGATGGTGCCTGGCTAAAACTACAAACCACTCTGACTGGGATCTCAACAGAGGGTCCCAGACAGAGCAGGAGAAAAATGTAGAACAAAAAATCAAATTTACAAAAATGTCACTGGTCTGACAGAGACAGGTGGAACCCCGGAGACTATGGCCCTGGAACTGAAGCCATTCCCAGAGACCATCTTTCAGCCAAACAATAGACAGGCCTGTAAAATAAACAGTAACACCAAGAGGAGCATGTTCCTTAGAACAATCAATTATATGAGATCAAAAGGACAATATTTGCCCAAAAGCAAAGACGAAAAGGCAGGAAGGGGGAGAAAATCTTTCGGAAAGGAAACGGGGAACCCAGGGCAGAAATGGAAAGAATGCTGACACATTGTGGGGAATGTAAGCAATGTCATGGAACATTTGTTGTACAAACTATCGAATGGGAAACTAATTTCCTCTGTAAACTTTCACCTAAAGCACAGTAAAAAAAAAAATTTTTTTTTAAAAAGTTCTTTTCATTTTATGAAATTTGTAAATATTTTGGTCACTGGCAAAAAACAAACAAGTATTTCTGTTCACTCACCCGTATCTTAATGCCTGCTAATAAACTCTCATAGACAACTGTTTAACCGTACTTCTGCAGTTCATTATACTAAAGGGGAAGTAGCTTTTCGTTGACAAGTCAGAAGCCTAGGCCAGCAGTAATCTCAGAATCCTGCTTTCTAAGCCAGTGACTGGACGTATTATCTTCATGAACAGATGCTTACTGAGGGCACATGTTAGATCCTACTGTTCTTGTATCAAACTATTGCCACATCTCCAAAATGTGCAGCAAAGAAAACAATAAAACTGTGGGCAGTGAAATAATAAAGGCTACATTAAAATTTCATAGATGATTATTTTGTATTCTGTACAAAAGTAAGCCTATTTGACTTTAATAGAGGCACCCAGGTGGCACAAAATATTGAAAGCGTTGCTAGTCCTTTTATGCACTATTTGACTTCCCTAACTTTGGATATAGTGTAGGCAACCTCTTATTTCAATGACCAGTGACCCATAAAAATAGTAACTCAATTGAATTCAAGAAACAAACCGTACATGTCTTAGGTGTATTGCGTGTCTCACCTTGTGCAGTCAGTCTTGAGGTTGTAGCAGTAAACCGTCTCTACTGGCTATTTCCTCTCACTCGTCGTTCACAATTACCTCATAGAGAGGAAGGCTTTTTGTCACTGGGGAAAGAAAAAGCAGGCATGAAGGCCAGTGATGGATAAAGGGCCTTACACACAGAAACATGGAGACTTAAGACACCAAAGAGATGCAGATATAAAGAGCAAGGAGCAACACACACATATACACACACACATTTGTGGAGCAGGAACCCCATCTTTCAACCTTTTAGCTATTGCCAATAAGATTGAATATAGGCATACATGGAATTAACATTTTTTGGTAATTATCCTATGATTCGGAAAATCTTCACTTCTGCTCTCAAGTTTCCAATGGAAATTTTTTAGTCATAACTTTTAGACATTTCTGGACTTTATGTTAATAAATAAACATAAGTCTTTATAGCTAGGAAGAAGGTTCTGAATGGCAGTTAGAGTCACTGAAGACGAGTCTAACATAGTATGTTCATTGTTATTATAGCAATAGTAATATTCTTTGAACACTGATACTGTGAAGTTTTCTTGTTGTAACTAGCATTTGTTTAATGCATGAAAACTATTTTTTAAATTCCTTGTGAGAACCACTTAGAAAAGGATACACGTACACATAATTATATTAGTGTGTTGATATGTTGGTGGTGCAGTGGTTAAGTGTTCAGCTGTTAACCAAAAGGTCGTCAGTTCGAATCCACCAGCTGCTCCTTGGAAATCCTACGGGGCAGTTCTACTCTGTCGTGTAGGGTCACTATGAGTAGAAGTTGACTTGACGGCCGTGGGTTTGGTTTTAGTTTTGGGTTGATATGTTAGCTCAAGTCCACCTCTAGTTAGAGGACAAAATCAACATTTCGAGCAAAACATGATGTCCAGAAAAATAGAAATAAAGCTCGGTCTTAAATTTTTAACATCTATAGTCTTAAAAGTAGTGTTTTTTTCATAGCGAGTCATCTTTTCCTGGTGACTTCCGTTGCACTTTCACAGTTGTATTAACATCAAAAAAATTTTAGACCACAACATATAATTTATCAGTGTATATTGATGTTAATTTTATACTCATATCATCTCAGAAAGAAATAGATTGAAGAGAGTTGGTATATTTAATCTTTGCACACTCGATGAAATGAATGAATATATAAGAATACATCATGACCCAT